CACCCGGAGGCTGACTTGGCTGTTCCTTTGAGCTCTGTCCTAAATCCCGCTGAACATTTTTGAACATCTGTTGTGGATGATTAGCTCCGTGGCGAGCAGAGTTTGACCACAGGGAGTTGCTACGAGTGCGTTTGGGGACTGAGTGGGTTTCTGCGCTCACTTGAGAACTTGATAAATATGTTCAATTTCATATCGATAGATATATTTTTCCCTTTCAACCACCGTAAATGCAAATGTGACTGTCAGGAGCAAAGTTATGGTATGTATTTAAATTTCGGCCAGTAGAGGGCACCTATTAATCTCTTCAGAAGGAATCTTCATCTCACTCGTGATGTTTGGATAAGCTAAAGTCCTTGAGTTGAGTTCTTTAGAGTTTTGCGAGTGAGCAAATTTCCCCGCCGTGCTCCCACACGCGGTGAGGAAAGCTGAAATTCTTCACAATTTTCTATGCTTTAAATTTTGTAGCCATCAGACCAAATATGTTGGACAAGTTTGTCTTGGAAGGACGACTAGTCAATTGTCATTTCAGGTATCGGTTGTTTTTGTTTTGTAGTCTAGTCATGACGGACATACCGAATGTCGAATAGCTTTGCTGTGAAGTCAAACTGGACCTATTAAACATATTTGGCTTTTGCCGATGAGCGCAGCCTGAGCATCCATACTGCAGTTGCTACAATATGTTGATACAGATACATAATTTATATCCACATTTGAAAGAGGACTTGGTTGGATTTGAAAAGGATCTTAGAATTACCGTTCACATTGCATGAAAAAATGATCAGATCCATTTCACGACCCCCCCCCCCCCCCCAAAAAAAAGTCTGAATTGACCTGCAGGATGAACATAGCCTGAGACCGATTGAACCATGTCGACGGAACAGACAAATGCAATGTTGGGAAACATTTTATGAAAGCTAAAATCAAACATTTTTAATTTTTCTCATTGCTTTTTCAGGCTGAGCATGACAGGGTGAAGTAAAAAGAATCCTGGTCTTTCTGTCCCAAATCGAAATATTTGAATATAGATCCTGTAACGTCTCACAAGATTTGATCAATTGTTGTTCATGCAACGTGTCAGCTTGGCACCTTCCCCTTGGGAGTGTGTCAAGGTTGCACTTTGTTGAGTTTCTCTGGAACGACGCGGCGTGCCAAAGGTATTTTTATGATCTGCTTTGTCATGTCAAGCTTGTCGACTGGCTAGATCTCATCAGCTCCCCTTCCATAGAACTGAGCCAACAGATAAAGACAGGCTGGCCATTTTGTAAAAGTCAAAAAAAAAATTAAAAAAAAAATCACATCACGTGCCATCATACCACACCTTGGCGTTTAATTTTAAACTCAGGTGCACTGCAGATTGCTCTGCCATTGGCCGTGGCGCAACAAGGTAAGGCCCCCCCCCGGCCCGGCCCTCCTCCTCTTGCTCGCGCATTGAAATCTGACACCGGTGACATCACACAGTGGGTTTGGCTTCTCCCATGCCATTGCTGAGCACCCTCTCAGTGTGTGAACAAGCTCTGCTCTCGGAAGGATCATTCCCAAACGCAACACCGCTCTCTGGCCGGGATTGTAACACGGGGAAGAAGACCCCTTGATTTTGTTCCCCCCCGTTTTGTGGAATCATACAAGAGCACCTTGAAGAATATTTTTTTTTGGAGGGATAATCCTTTTTTTTTGGATACCGTTGGATTGCCTTTCCCGGGATTAGAACACACTTTGCTCTGGAATAAGTGCCTGAAAGTGAAAAGGAATAAAAACGAGATTTATTCGTAATTGACATGAATGGGTAAGTGGAACATTAAGAGTGACTTTCTGTCTAAGCGGAATCATACTGGAGGAAGATCTGGCGCAGGTGCATTTTGGGGAACTATTGCTGAGTGGCTCAGCCGGGGAGATCAGAAAAGTTGCTTCTTCTAATCTGTGTCATAAAAGTAACAAGCTAAATTGATGTGTCACACTCGAGCGGTCAGGTATTTTCTTCCTTGGGTCTTTTTTGCGGGCTTCCCTTTTGTCCTTGCTCACTCTTGCTTGCTAAGCCAAAACAATAGTTTAACCTCGTCTTGGCTGAGCTCTATTGGCTTGGCTCTCTGGCAAATTGCCCCCGTCTGCCGCGAGCCCTCCCCAAACTTATTCAAGACTGCTTTGAATAGACGGACGGGGCCCATAGAACGTCCCCTAGCTACCGCTGCTAAGGTGAGGCACCCTGCCGTTTCTGCCGAGTTAGGGCCTTACGCCGGGGCCAAACAACCTGCTTTTCCAGTTGCCTTTATCTCCCCGGGCAATCGGGAGGCTAGAATTTCAACGACGAGAAATCCAGTCCGAGGGAGGCGGGGGCACGGAGAGACTTTGAAATCCCAACACTCGAAAGGCACAAATTTTGCTTTGGAGAGCTGCCTCGAAGTATAACCTTCACGCAAAGCCTCTGGACACTTAACTGTTTTATTTTAAGGAAGGGGCTCCAATAACCAAATGTAAACATGGGGAGTCCTTTTGGATAGTTGGAGCCTTTTCTATTTGCAGTGGCGGGGGAGCTCAAAAGCCACAAATTTTGCTTTCGGGAGCTGTCCTGATCTCAAAAGTGTATCTTTCCCCTCAAGACGTTACCTGTTTCTTGTTCGTTTGAAGGAACGGGCTCTAATAACCGCATGTAAACATGAGAGTCGTTAGTTATTTGCAAACAACGGCATTTCTCGAAAGTCCCAAATTTTGCTTTTGGGAGCTGTTGGTACCTCACTCTCAAAGCCTTATCCCTGATATTGTTTTATTTTACATAACCGCCTCTCGTGCGACCGCATGCAAACATGGAAACCTTTTGGACGGTGTTAGCTTGTTCTAGTTGATGATGACGGGATTACTCATTCATCACAAATGTTGTTTTCGCGAAGCTGTCGGGTCCTCAAAATGGACCCTTCTCTTCATCGTTGGATTTTAAGGAACCAGTTGGTAGCCTCGTTGCGAGTTTGTGACGGTTTGGCCGCTTTGCTTTTGGGAAGTCCTCAAGACATAAGCGCTGGATTTGTGAGCGGCAGCACTGAAAAGCTATCAAGCGAGTCTTCAGTTGACACATGGGTCAACTATGACCTTGAGGCAAAACCCCCCCAACAACCACAAGATGGCCGTTAGAATGTCTGTTGAGCTGCTTAAACAAAGAAGACAAAAAGCCACGGTCATTTATTTAAACAAAGCCAATTCCTGTCCGCCTCGGGGTGACCCGCGGGTCATCTCCCCCCTTTCACCTCCGCCATGCCGATCAGTGACACTTCACACCGCTTTTTACAACTATTCCTCGGTCACTCATTAGTAATGTTGTGGGAGAACCACCAGAGACATCCACGATGGGATGAGAGGAAGTCTCTCCTTATCCTTATTAGATCTTGTGCAAACAAATATCTCTTTTCTGACTTGAAGGTCTTCCTTTGGAATGAATCACACTCTGTCTCACAGGCAATCTGTCAATTTTCTTCCCTCTTGGATTCCTCAAAAGTAATTATGGACGGGAGCCCATGGATTTTTTCCATTCAACTTGATTTCTCATCACGGGTGACTTGGGTAGATGTTTAATGGCCTATTGACGCATGATGGGTTTATCTAATCGCTCTCGTCCCAGTTGGGACACCTGAGAGGGTCGCTTTAGAATCATAGATCAATGTCTGGGAAGGCACAACAAAATATCAATATATCGTTGTCTGTTCCGATACGGCGTCGATACACGGGCAGCAAATTTCATGTTGCTGACTGATGAAAACCCAAGTCCAAAGAATCTAGCATCTCCCACATCTACTGGAGTTATCTTTTTTTTTTTTTATGATCACCATCTTTCCTTGCTGTATCACATTGTGTTCATAAAAATATTGTGATCATAAAATAATAAAAACACAGCTACTGTAAACAGTGTAAAGTCAAATAAGATATAAAAAAATGAAAATAAAAATGTTAGACATAATCGTAATATTTTTTAAAAATAAATCTGTTGATTAAAAAAAAATGGAAATACTCAAAAAGACATTCATGATGCTCACAAAATAATTTGCCAAAAAGATTGAGGAAAATACTCATGCAAAAGTATTACAGCAAAAATATACAAAAAAAAACATCACAAATGTTCAACAAAAAAATAGTTGAAATCACAGATGACAAATTTGGAAAACAAATTATACCAATGAACCCAATTATTGCAATATTCGACCAATGCGTCAAAATAAAACAAATAGTAAATGAACACAGTAACTGTTGAACATAATATTTGGGCACCTACGAAAAGCTGCTTGATTTTAGCATCACCAGGCAACAGTCGGCGAAATTGCCGTCTTAATTTGTTTTGGCTGTCTGCAAAGAAGCGCCTTACCAGAATGGAATAATTAATTACAGAGGCTATAATTAATTTGATTGAACTTTTTAATCGAATCCCACCACTGTGAGTTCCTCTGCGATTCCTACCCCTAATTTACAGCGAGTCCGACGCTTTGATGTAGAAACAGCCATGTTTGTGATCCGCCTCAAAGAAGTCAAAGTTGTTTGGTTTTTGCGCCAGGACTTAAACTGCCCGCCGGCGACAAGGTCAAAGGATCTGCTTTGTGATGACGAGGTCTAATTGCCAGTCCTCCCCGCGCCGCGCTAAATAAGGTGTTGATGCAGTGAGACGGGGCTGAATGTGCCAGATAGTCACGCATAATACCCAACTTCAATCAGCCACCACCAACCGCGCGGATGTGTTAGTTGTGTTGATCGTCACTTTCCGGGCACGGTTGTGACATTTTGCTCCTAGCGCGCAGCCTCATTCGTTGTGACGGCTGCTGGGATGAGATGTATGATGGCGGGAGGGGGGGGAGAAAATGCTGCGTTACCACTAAGATCACTCGCAATAGCAAGGCGCTCACAGGGTACCGGAGTACAGTCCAAAATAGGTCTGTTCTATACGTTGACATTTAGACAGAGTTGCTGAAAAGTACAAAACTGCTTTTGGACAAGCGGATAATGAGAGATTTATTGCAAGAGCTGCGGTGGTGTGAATCAACGCTATGACTATTTTTGACTACAGGACTTAGTGAAGGAAGACGTCTTGCTCAGGACACTAGACCCTAATCAATTCCGATTTCAAATGACGATTGTTTTTATTCCGCCACTCAGTTTTTGTCCGAAGCCCACGTTCCACGCACATGTGCAACTTTCTCCAGTGTTTTCTTGGAGGCCTTTTGAACGCGTCGTCATGGACATTTCAACCATTTTCCGGTGTGTTTACTACTCAGACGTGCCCGGTCACGGTGTTTCCTGTCTGGATTTCTGTTAACATTCTTCACTCTGCTGCACCATGTGGTGCAGCTTTGAGTGAAGCTTCTGCGCTGCCGATCGCCTTGTGAGCAAATTGCATCATTCACTGCTTAGCTGCAGGATCAACTTTTTCCCCAATCAAGGTTGGATTGTGGGGGGGGGGGGGCAGTAGCGAGTTATCGTCCGGAAAATACAGTTGTTAATATTTTGGGATGTCACAACTGGATTTACATGAATTCCAATGGGAAATATTGCTTTGGTGTCAGTTTTATTTGGTTTTGGTCATACTTTTTGGGACAGATAATCACAATAACTCAGGTTGTACTCAATAGGAAGACATTTCTACTAAGTGGAAAATAGTAAACCAGTGTAACCATTTCTGGAATTACTGCGATATTCTGATATGTTAAAACTGCCCCCCCGTTAGTCTACTTTCCAGTTCGTGTTGTTAAAACCAAATAAAAAATGGAAAAGGCGTCTTGATTTATGCGCCACTTGGTTCTGGCAGCACAGTCTCTTTTGGCAGATTTATGCCGCCGCTTCCCGACACCCCTCGTTTGTGCCTGGGCCCTCCCAATTTCTCCAAATGTCGGGTGTCGACTCCACGTTCTGCTTGATTACTTTATCAGCTCCCGCTGTCGCCGCTTCGGCGAGTTATGACCTCATTTTCGTTGGCCCAGCGTAGCGCAACAAAACATGACAGAGCCTGACTATCATTAAAATGTTACCGTATATAACACCGACCCATTTCTTGGCTCGTATTTTCAGACATTTAGCTTTTTCTTTATTCCTTTTCTGCCTGACTACGAACGAAGTCCTTGGCTTGTTTTAGGAAGATGGATGGACGTTGGTTTCATTAGTACGCCTGACTTATTTATAGACTGTGCGCTGTTTTTTTGGCCCGCTCTGGGCCCTGTAAAGGATGCTGGAGGCTGATGAGACATTCTTGCGTCTGGGAAGTATTCTCCACTGAGGCTAAGGGGGGGGGGAAGTTTGTGTGCGTGTGCATACACACACATTTTTTTGTATTCTACAATAATATCTGTTGTTGTGGCTTGAAAGAATAAAATATTTCAACCCTGCCTCTTAATGTAGTGGGGTAAGAGGATGATATAAAAAAAAGTCGTCAGCGAGAACGTACCGTTGCATGTTTTGCCACTTTTTGTACTCCCAAAAGCTCTGAGGCGTATTGTACCTATGAATAAAGTTGGTCCCGTTTTGTTATCACCGCCGCTCGTGTTTTATATCTATTTAATATGCAATCATTAAAGCAATGAAATGGTACAAAAAGAGCCAGGTAGACGCGTGCGTGCGCCTGCGAGTGCCGACTCCCACACAAGTTACTGTAGTTGACAGGCAGGAGAGGGAATAAGCGCGAGTGAATGTTGATGTATGTCAAGAAACACGCATGCAAATGACCCTTTACCGTGTGCCACACCCACCCGCAAAAAAAAATATACTTTCCATTTATTTATCATCAAACGATACGTTGACATCGTGACGGGCCGACGTGAAGAT